TTAATCATGGGATGAAACGGTGAATTTGATGTCATCTCATTTTTCGACAAAAAATTAAAAGTCAGGTTATTAGGTTACTTTATCTTGTTTCATTTCACTTCATATTTTTTAGAACAAAGCAGTAAGTGGGCTTGCCAGAAATATAACAGTACAGTGAACAAAAAGGAAGTGAATAATCATTTTCTGCTGCTATTGTTGGAAAGGAATCACTATCAAGGCATCTCCACTTGTTAAAATGTAATCCAATACTGAACCTTATTCCTGTGATAAGTTGAAAGATAAGTTGACTGACTCCTAACTGATTTGTTATATGGGTTGTATTGTTTATGTTTAGACGCAGCAATTGGGATAAATTTATCTGACTTACATGTTATTGTGAACTTGCCAGACACATCCACCTCTTAAAGTTACTCATGAACTGGAAGCCAACTAATCACTCTTCTATTTTTCTTTTTCCAATTTTTCAAACCAGTCTTTCAAATGAAAAAATGTGCATATTGAGGGGAAATGCATATAAAAGCTCATACATTGGTAAAATAGCATGTGAAAAAGCTTTAAATTAAAGTAAACATAATGTAAAATGAGAACAAAAGTACATAGCAAGGAAATTGTATATGAGAATATGTGCAAATCTTTGAGCAGACTTTTAAAAAACCAGAATTGGTTGTAGAAATTGAATGAAGTGTACCTACCGCTGGAAAAACAAGCTGTTATTTAGATTTTTTGTTAGATATATATTCTGCTATTCCTTCCAGGAGTTCAAGCAATGTACTTACTTTTCTCTCCTTCAATTTTCCTATAACAGCTCTGTGCCGCAGGTTGGCTTGAGTGATTGAATATCTTTGCACAGGAATGGGTAGCTCATGGGTAGAATGTGGCCATCAGCTACCAGATTTTAGCATATCCATCTTTTTTAAATGCCCACAAAGCCTGGAAATTTGCCCATCTGTCAACATCATCATCCATCTCAGACACCCTCTGCACCTCAAAGGGCAAACTAATCTTTAAAGTTTTCTGTGGGTTTATAGGTCATGTGATAGCCATTTATAAATAAAAGTTTATGAATTAATTGGATAGGTATCCAGCCAGGTATAGAGCTTACTCAACAAACCATATTGATATAAGTCATAGATTAGAGAAATGTGTATACCAGATCATTTCCTAGACTATTATAGATGGTCACAGAGTCAGCCAGATGTTTCAAGGGTATTTGGCATTTTTGCCAAATCTATCAAGTATTTTCCATGTACCTGGGCTAGACAGATGATGTTGTTCGATGGGATTAAAGAAATTGTCACAGGCTGTAAGATGTGACTATAAAGCTGACCCTTGCAATTGACTGGTGGTGATCTTGTCAATGCCGAGTAGCGCTCCAAAAGTTTTGAAATTGCACCCAAGGCACCTATTACTAACTGCATTTTTTTTGCCACAGCCATTTGGCTTCTGTTTGCAAGTCATTACATTTTGTGATTTTCTCCAGTTTTTTCCTCTTCTGTGGTGCTGTCTCCAGGTATTGCAATGCTCATTATCAAGACTATTATTATTCAGACAACTTTCCTGTGAGACAGAGACCGAGTCACAGCACGTATTATCCCATTAAGCTATTAACTTCCCTCCCTGTTTTTTGCTCTTGGTTCACTTCTACACTTGGTGATGATCAATCACACTTTCACAAATCTGAGGTTACAATTGTATTCCACAGAATGGAGTTCAGCAAGAAACGTGCGGATGGAATGAATTCAGTTGTGAACACTTAACTCGCCTGTTATAATTTTTCACTCTCCCCATCTGGCATTTAGCAAGCAGCTTGTCTTACCTTTCCACGCCTGAGATTTTCTTTCTTCCCCTAATTGATTGAAGTGTTTACAGCACAGACTGAATTCACAAAGAAAATGGAGCATGTTTTTCATGACAATTGGGAACCTTTTGCCTGATAATTTTGTTCAACTGCATCCGATCACAGAAAGGCTCATTTATTTCCTCTCAATTGGTCTAGCCTTGCTTTGGTTCTGTTTGAAAAAGCTCCTAAGTCTACACATACAATTTCACCTAAGGCAGATGAGCATATGAGAATGTGTCAGGTTGAGGAGAGAGAGAGAGAGAGACAGCCAGAAAGAAAGAGAGGCAGAGAGAGAAAGAGACAAGACAGACAGACAGACAGACAGACAGACAGACAGACAGACAGAGAAGCAGAGGGACAGATTAGCTTCTAAAGAAACATCTTCACTCACATGAACTTATCTGAATGGCATGTGACTTTCCCAGTTATAGTGCAGTATATATGAAATACTGTTCCTCTGAGGCAGGCTTGTCACACAGATTTACTGCCAAGTAAAATACCTATCCCTCAGGGCCACCAACAAAATGTAACAGCATTATTCCTTCGTCGTGTTTCCATAGTCTGCTGAGCCCTCTTCCATCCCCAGCCCCTTTCCACTTGTTTTCCCTTTACTTCATTCCATAGTCATTTTTCATTGTATTTAGCAAAAACTTGGGGTTTCACCTTTATGCCTGACAGGTGCCAGCTTGGCTATTGGTACTTGTCTGTCAGTATCAAAGACTGGGAAAGCTATTTGTATAAGTATGCTCTTTTTTTTTCTTCCTAAAAGAAAATGCTATTTTACACTCACCCCCATCCCACCCCCAAACATTAAACGTTTTTTTAAAAAGGAAGATAAAAACAAATATAAACTAGCATGAAATTAGGAAGAAGAAAAAAGAATAAAATGAAAGAGAAAGCTAAAGGTGCAAGAAAATAAAAAATAATCGGCAGGGTAAGGTTTGATCTGGACATAAAACAAACAAACAAACAAACAATTAATTCAGCTTACTGATGACAGCTGAGCCAATGACAATGGATAAGCTCACCTAGAAGCCTCAGGTAGATGTTAAAAAGGAAGGAGACTGTACAAACCTTATGGCATCCCGCCATTGGTGGGATTCAAAAATTTTTTATTACCGGTTCTGTGGGCGTGGCTTGGTGGGCGTGGCAGAGGAAGGATACTGTAAAATCTCCAGTCAGAGGTGGCATTTGCAGGTTCTCCGAACTACTCAAAATTTCTGCTATCGGTTCTCCAGAACTGGTCAGAACCTGCTGAATACCACCTCTGCCTCCCCCATAGCAGGGGTTGAGAGAGTGATCCCTCCTCCTTAACCACCAGTGATTCAACCTGGCTTCAAAAGAAGGTGGTGAACCATCACAACCACCCACTCACCCAATCCTCTGAGGCAAACCAGAAGGATATAGCCATTGATGGTATCAAAAGCTTCCAAGATGTCAAGTAGGGTAAGGATGGATGCACACACACACACACACACACACACACACACACACACCATCTTACCCTTCTAGAGATAATCCAAAAGTATGACCAATGCTGTTTCCATCCTATACTCAGGCCTGAATCCCAACTGAAAGGGATCTGGATATCCAGACTTTAATTATTGTCTCCAGTTCTTGTTCTTCTATTTTCTTCTGTCTCCAAATATTGCAATGTCCATTAGCAAGATTTTATAATACTTATTTGCTGCCCAGCTCCCAGTGACTCTGCACAGTTTACAATAGTTAAAGCATTTAGAAGCATTTTTTTTTTAAAAAAAAAACACCAAAACAATACATAACAAATAGTAATAGCAGTAGCACTTAAGACTTATATACCGGTTGGCAATACTTTACAGCCCTCTTTAAGCGGTTTACAGAGTCAACATATTGCCCCCAACAATCTGGGTCTTCATTTTTACCAGCCTTGAAAGGATGGAAAATTGAGTCAACCTTTAGCTGATGAGGCTCAAACTGATGAACTTCTGGCAACCTGCAGTCAGCAGATGTAGTCTGCAATACTACCTTCTAACCATTGCGCAACCACAGCTCTTCCTGTGATAAATCAATGGCCAATAAATCAATAAATAAACCCAGAAGGGATCTGAAAGAAGGAAAGAGACTTTGCCTAAGGTCCAGGTGAAGAGACAAATATTTAAAGCCCTTCAAAAAAATAAGTAGGGTGGGACCCACTGAAATGTTGGTGGGAGCGTCATTCCTGAGGGTATTCTAGTTTTTATTGTTTCTAGAAATCTATATTCTAGTTTTCAGCTTTTTACTCTTTTCACTTCTGTCCAATATTTCCCATCCCCATAGCTGATTGATCTTTGAGGCAGTGATAGCATCCTTATGCTCAACTAAACCTGGAGTGGCCTCAAGAAGATCCATTCTTACTCTAATATTCCATAGTTTGGTGATACGATGATCACTTGTAAAATTTTACTTCATTTGCTGCTGCTGATATCATCACATACATTACTATGTCAGGGGAAAAATAATATATACATTAATATGGTATAGGAGATGATACCCTATGTGGCTTCCATTTTCAGAAGTAGCATCACATTTCTCATGAAGTTTAATTCCACCCTTCAACTTCATTTTGACAATATGCTATGCAACTATAATACAGGGAAATAGTATCCACTTGCAGCCAAAAATGTATTTCCATCTTCATGCTGTCCTGCCATAGAGTATACTATACATCATCTTTGGACTATATACAATTAATTTTCTCTTCTTTGCCCATCTGCTTCTCCTTTTTTACCATGTTTTTGTTACATTTGTTTTTAAGGTCACTATCACATTTCATTTGAACAGCTGGTGCTTAATATCAAAAGATCATTGCATGATAAAGTTACACAGTCAGTGAAAGACATATGTCATTTTAAAAACTCATTATGTTCTATTGTTTGCTAAAACAAGCACATTATGAGTACATTTTTAATAACTTATTTGTCTGATGGTTGAAGAATTAAGCTCCTTAAATCAGAAAATTTTATTTTAATCTTATTTGAAAGACTAGAAAATTCAATTCCCTTTCTTCGTACTTAAGAAACATGGCCAGACTTCACAGTTCTAGTTACAAAATCTGAAAAGAAATGACACTGTAGGAATTACCTTCATTTGAGATACTATAATATGCAATTTCAAGATCAAAACTTTTTTTTATAATTTTCAGGGTAACTGTTCTTCCAGATGGAAGCCTGCAAATTCTGAATGCCTCCAAATCTGATGAGGGGGAATACATATGCCGAGGAGAAAATATATTTGGTTCAGCAGAAATTACAGCTTCAGTATTTGTGAAAGGTGAGATATATCACCGGATTCATCTGCATAGGTTTGCACCAGGTAAAGTTGAGTACTCCAACAAAACTCCAACAAAAGTCAGTTTGGTCTAGTAGTGGTTTAAGGCATCAGGCTAGAAACTCTGTGTTCTAGTTTCATGTTAGCCAGGTGAACTTGAGCTTGTCACTTTCTCAACAACCTCATGGAATTATTGTTGTGGGGAAAATAAGAGGAGGAAGGTATGTTGGGTATCTTTGCTACCTTGAATTATTTGTAAAAAATAATCAGGAGGTATACAAATAGATAAATACAAGCAACATGCTGGTATTCCAATACTGTATTCTGCTATCTACAGCTCTAGTAGGACAGAAATAACACTGAGATTCTTCTTTTTCCTTTTCCTTTTCCTTTTCCTTTCTTCTTCTTCTTCTTCTTCTTCTTCTTCTTCTTCTTCTTCTTCTT